TTATTGTTTCTACCAAATCAGTGTAGCTGAATCTTTTTTTTCTATCACTCCCTCAAGGATTCTTTTTAGATATTTCTTTCCTAACCACACCCTCTGGCCCATGAAAAATAAAAACTAAGACATAAGATTTTGTTGAGTAGGATTGAGTTTGAAGGACCACAAACCATAGAAATATTTAAGGTTTTTTTGCCCCTCAAGAGCTAATTTTTGCCCTCTTAGGGGCATTCCCACTCCCCTTGAGAAAGCTTGAGAAAGCATGTACTAAATGACCTTCCAACTCCACTTCCACGGAGATTTCCTTATTTACTCTTACTACATGTCTTCTCAGCACAATAATCAACTACTCCCCCTTGCCTACAGGAGAAATTCTGAATGCCTGGGCCTAATGATTAATGACTATTTGAAAGAGAAATTGGTTTAAAAATACCACAATCACATTTTACAAAATACCTGACCACTTCACTGCAAAACTGTCATGGTTATCAGAAACAAGGATGGTATGAGAAACTGTCGTAGTCAAGAGAAGCCTAAGGAGATATGACAACTAAATGTGAAGTGGTATCCTGATGGAGCCCTAGAACAGAAAAAAGACCTTAGTAAAAACTAAGGACATCTGAACAAAGAATGGATTTTAGTTGATGCTAATAAAAAATAAAACGACCAAAACACTTTTCTCGTGGTCAGCTCCTTTGATTAAAATAGTGGCTGGAACACAGCATTAGTGGCTGTGCAGACACTGAGCAACAGCAGCCTGCACTCAAATCCTGGCTGATGTTAATTTGTCAACTGTTAAACTGTCGTTAGGAGGGTGCTATAAAACATGATCACAAGAGCAGAAAACAAGAGAACATTTCTGCTTTTGTGGTAAAAACTGGGGCCATCAGCTGTTATATTGCTCAATATTTTCCCTCCCACATTTGTATGACACTTTTCTCTTCTTCGGGGTTTTTCGTTATAAACGAGGGAAAAGTTTGAGTTTTTAATTCAACCAGATCTGGTTTCAAATCATGAGTCTGCCATTCACTAGTTTTATAATTTGAGTAAGTTTCTTTCTGAACCTCAGTTTCTTCATCTATAAACTGACAATAATAACTGCCTTGCAATAGCGTTGGTTCTTCACATCTCAAATCAAGCAGCATCATTTCCTCAGGGAAGTCACCCCTGACTCCCTATATTGACTCAAACTTCTTGTTAATAGTCTCATCACTCTGTGTACTCTTTCTTCCTAGCTTTAATTTAGTTTGTAATTATGCATCAAATTGGGTGAATATTTGGTCAGTATCTGTTTCCCCCGTTAGACCCTAAATTCCATGAAAGCACAGACCATGACTCATTGTCAATTGCTGTATCAATAGCACCCAATGCAGCCTGACACATCATCTTCACTTGGTACATTTTTGGGTGAATAAATGAATGGTGAATAAATGATTAAATGATATATATGAAACCTGCAGCTGTCTTAAAAACACTGGCCTGCTTTGAGCCATTCTACCACTCAAATGATGGGAACCATGTATCTTATAATAGCTTGTTTCTTAAATGGACTATCAATTAACTCTGGACCAACTCTAACATAAAATGTGTAATGGCAGTCTGAGTGACTCCTAAAGGGCAAATATTTGGTGAAGGGCTATAAAAATAAAGTAGAAAGTAGAATAAAATAAAATTTTTAAAAATTTATGTTGTATAATTTGCAAGCTCTTCTGGGCATTAATGTAAGAGGGAAGGGCAGGAGCTTTGCATCTAAATTCAGGTTCTGCAAATTTAAGTGCAACTTACAAACATGACCTCAGTTAAATCGTTTCATCTCTTAGAAACTATTTAATATTTATAAAATAAAGATAAGCATGCTTATTAAAGTTGGTATGTAGAATAAATGAAACAAATTATGTAAACCATTTAGAATAGAGTTCAGCAAACAGTAGGTATTTATTAATTCCTACATTCAATAAATATTTATTAAAAACCCACTAGTGCCTGGTATTGTGCTAGGAACTGAGGATCTAATGATGAAAATAACATCTGTTTTTTGCCTACTCAACAATAATGGTGTGCTATTTCATACCCATCACAAAATGTAGGCAAAAATGCAGGAGCATGACACTGTCATGTTTTGCTAGAGACAGGACATGGAGAACCAAAAACTCACATACCACAGTTTCTGGTCAGAGTGTGAAATTGTACAACCAATGTTTCAGTTACTATACCTGTGTAACAAATTACCCCAAAACTTGGTGGCATAAAAGAATCATTTATCATGCTCCCAGTGGGTCAGGAGTTCAGACAGGACACAGTGGGGGCAGCTTATCTCTGTTCCAAAGTCTGAGGACGCAGCTGGAAGACTAAAAGGTTGGGAGCTGGAATCATCTGAAGCCTCATTCACCCATATGTTGAGTGGTTGATGCTGGCTGAGATCTCAGCTGGGCCTGGAATCTTTATACAAGTCCTCTCCAGGTAGCACAGGCTTCCTCACAGCATGGTGATTGGGTCCAAGAGTAGGTGTCCCAACACAGAGAGGGAGAGTCAGGCAGAAGCTGTATCACCTTTTATGACCTAGCCTTGGAAGTCATGCAGTGTCACTTTCACTACATTCTATTCATTAGAAATGAGTTCCTAAGACTAACCTACACTTAAGGAAAGGAAACATAGACCCTACCTTTGATAGAAAAGAGTCAACACCACACTATAAGAAGAGCATGTAGAAAGGGATATGTTGGTGTGGACGTGTTTGGAAAATACGATCTGCTAAAATCAGTTTGAAGAAAATATGGCAATATTTGGTAAAATTGAAAATATGTATGATTTGGCAATTCCACATCCAGGTATACTTTGGTAAAAATTTTCCGCATGTGCACACAGAATGTACAAAGATATTCATGGCAACACTGCTTGTTAGAGTGAAAATTTGGAAACATTCCAAATATTCATCAACAGAAGATTGATAAATAAATGATGGTTTATTAACACAAAGTAAAAAATAATCCATCAGTAAAAATAAAGGAACAAGAAATACACATTTTAATATTGATGAGTCTTAAAAACACTGTTGAGTAAACAAAAAAAGCAAGTTGCATAATGATTTGTACCATATGATAGTATTATATAAATTTATTTTAAAATTGCACATGGAAACACTATGTTTTGTTTATAAATATATTATACATGAAGTAAAAGTGTAAAAATAGGACTAGATACACTCCAAATTTATGATTTCATCTGACAAGAGTTAAGAGGCATGATAGTGGAGAAAGGAATAAAATGGATGTCACTGTTTTTATATTTTATTTACTTTAAAAATATTAAGCAAATGATAATATTTAGTTATTTTGAGTGTTGTATATTGGTTTGTATTTAACTACATTATTTAATTTTTGAAAAGTAATTAATCACATTAAAAATGAAATGAGCCTGTGAGAGAGGGCAAGGGGAGGATTTTATAAAATCCGTCCAGAAGTGTGAAGAGCTCCAGAAGAATTTCAGTCTCACGAGCTTTTGCTTCTCCTGTCCTGTGAGGCTCTCTGGCCCTGCTTCTGCCACCCTTACACCTGGGCTTTTCCTTTGCAGGCTTTCCTCAAAGCAAACCTTTGACACACGACAACTTCTCTGTTTTCATTAGCACTGCCTAGATAGTATGGCATTTTCAAAGAGAACATTACAAATTAAAAAGATGACTTGAAGAAAAAATATTAACAGTATTAAATTAGTCAACAGAAACAGTTTTAGATTATTGACTTTTTTTTTAAATAATTTTATTTATTTATTTATTTATTTTATTCCCCCAAGCCCCAGTAGATAGCTGTATGTCATAGCTGCACATCTTTCTAGTTGTTGTATGTGGGACGCGGCCTCAGCATGGCCAGAGAAGCAGTGTGTCGGTGCGAGCCCGGGATCCGAACCCAGGCCGTCAGCAGCGGAGTGCGCACACTTAACCGCTAAGCCACGGGGCCAGCCCCGACTTTTTTTTTTCTGATGGAACTAATTAAAGTATCGATCTAAGACAGTAAGTGAAGGTGTTAAGAGTAGCATAATGTTTTCACTGGTTCCACATCCTCTGGACAATATAAATTTTCTTTTGTTCTTCAAAAGTACAGTCATCTGACCGATACTCAAATTCTGGTTCCACACTAAGAGGGTAGGAGACATGTATTGAATTGTCTACCCAGCTCATTTTCTCTGGAAACTGACATCTCTAAACCAGGGCTAATCCTCCTGGCACCAGGCCTGGCCCCGGGATGCCACTGTAGACATGGATCTTGAATCTCCTCAGGGCTTCCTGTGCTGGCAGGAAGGGTAGAGGGTCAGAGAAAACCTCAGAAAAGAGAAACTGGATGAGAGCCCATGTGGGTCTCAGTCCAGGCACTACTGGCCCTGGCCGACTTCAGCCACGTCAGAAAGACTTTAAAATGTTGAAAACTTAAAAAATGTTCCCAAGTGTGAAGGAGTTCCCTGAGTTGTCCGCCAGAGCAGACTCCACTTGCCATGTAAGGGCCATTCTGTCTCTAGTCCAATATTCTGTGTGGTTTACACAAAAAGATTCTTGAGAGCTATTTTATGCAATTTGGCTCTGTCCAAGTGGTATGATTGACTGATCCAGGTGGGTCAATCAGATACCCTTCACCAATAAACTGTTTTTAAGAGAGAAATAGAAAGTGAGAATAACATCTACTCACTGTATGAAACAGAAAAGCAAAGGAAATGAGTGTGCTACAGAAAGACTGAAATAATGCACAGAAAGGAAAATTAATGAAAGACAAGGAAAAGTCCAAGATTTTTCCAGTCCTGATTCCATTACATTCCTGAGGCTCCAGTTAAAAAAACTCAGCCTGTTGGGTGTCTTCCCTCTTACTGAATTCCAGTCGCCTGCCTCAGCCACTGCCAGAGGACAACAAGATCCATTGAATAGTCAGTAGACCAGAAGTCAGCATACTTTTTCTGTAAAGGGCCAGACAGTAAATGTTTCATCTGTGTGGGCCACACATGGTCTCTGTCTCTCCCTCCTCTTCTCCTTCTCTTCCTTCTCCCTCTCCTCTGCCTCCTGCTCCTCCTTCTTCTCCTTCGTCTTCTTCCCCTTAAAAATGTAAAACCCATATTGCTCTAGGCACTACAAAACAGGCTACAGGCCAGATAGTCCACAGGGTGTAGCTTTGCCTACCCTTAGATCAACAGCAGTTCCCATTCCAGTCTGCCCATTACAAATGCATGGGGATCTTTTAAAAACATCCCATAATGCCAGGCCCCACCCCTAGAAATTCATTTAATTATTCATTAAATGTTCATAAAATTCATTTAATGGGATTGAGTTGGGAAAATCCAGTCTCACTCCTGTGTTTCTCCTTTACTCTCACACTACTACCACACACACAATACTTCTGACCTTAGGTGTATGGAGGTTTTCGCCCACCAAGCAATTGTCTGCAATACTAGCTGGGTGTCCTACAATTTAACTCAACTCTGACATTATCTACCTGGAGAGAGCACTGTATCACATAGGTTAAGGGCTCAGGCCCACAAGGCTTCTCCTACTCTACTCCAGAGGCCAATCACAAGTCCAGGTTGTTACCTGCACTTCTGACCAATCGGCTACAAATCTGAGGTTCCCACAACCCCCTCCTTGGGATTGATTAATTTGCTAGAGTGTCTCATGGAACTCAGGGAAACACTTACATTTACCAGTTTATTAAAGCATATGATCAAGGATACAGATGAACAGCCAGATAAAGAGATACATAGAGCAGGTCTGGGAGGTTCCTGAGTGCAAGAGTATCCGTCCCCAGGGAGTTGGGTTATGTCAGCCTCCCAGTGTAGATGTGTTCACCCACCTGGAAGCTTTCCAAACCTCCTACTATTGGGATTTTATGGAGGCTTCCTCACATAGGCATGATCAATTATTAACTCCATTTCCAGCCCTTCTCTCTTCTCTGGAGAATGGGGGGTGGGATGGAAAATTCCAAGCTTCTAATCATGGCTTGGTCTTTCTGGTGACCAGTCCCCATCCAGGAGCCACCCAGGAGCCTATCTAGAGTCGCCTTATTAGGACAAAAGATGCTCCTAGTGCTCCTATCACTTAGGAAATTGCAAGTGTTTCAGGAGCTCTGTGCCAGGAATAAGGAGCAGAGACCAATACATATTTTCTATTATCTCACAGGGATCCAGTCACTGATATTTTTCTGAAAGCTCCCAGGTGAATTTAATATGAAACCAGAGCTGAGAGCTGTTGGAACTTTCGCTGAATTCATTTCTAAACTTTGCCTACTTTTGGATCATTCTATAATGTCTGTCAGGTCATTTAAGCTCATTTAGGAATATAGCTAAATGAATTTTTGATTTAGTCAATTATCTTTACTCTCTTAGAATACATAATTGCATGTTGAAAAGAAAACAAAGCTGAGAGAGTCTCCATCTCAGTCCAGTCCATTTATTGAGAACTAACACCTTCTAAGAATTTGATAAAAGATTGTCCCAAATTTACCCTCTTGCTCCCTCCTTCATCAGAGATGAAAAGGGGCTACAATGTTGGGGGAGGGGGGAAGTTGGAGGGGAGGAAGAGGCAAGTTAGATATTGCTGCAAGTCTCTAAAAAATGACACTTGTATTTTTGTTTTCAACATTTTGTTGCAAAATATTTGCAGTATTTTTAGGTCACAGAAAAAAAATGAAATAGAATGTACACCTCACAGTGAATTTCATTATTTTAAAGTAATATTTTATGTTTTCTAATGTTTCTGACAGTTCAAAAATTTTTGTAGCACAGATTTCTTCAATCCACAAGTTCCTTTTAATAAATAAATAACAATAGAGTGAGTAATTGAGTTGTTTGCTTAAAGAAATTTCAATCTTTTACTAGATTACCTTCTTTAAGAACCTCTGGAAATTTCCAGGTGATGCTTATATGGTACATAAATCCATTCTGATTACCACTCGGGTTAACTCATGCTGTAACCACAGGACCAGTTCAAACCAGCCATATCATGTAAATAACAGAATGTCAAAGTTATCTTACAGGAGTGACAAGCCAAAACCGCAAGTCACGTAGCCGGAGCATGCACAGAGGAGGAAATTTTGATCTGAAGTAACACCCAGAAGCAAAGTTTCTTCCCCCACCCCCACCCACAGAACCAAAGGACCAGAACATGACCAGAACGCAAAAGCCAGAAACTTTTCAAAAGCAAGGATCCAGTGTCCAGGAAGATCTGTTGTTAAAGCCCCTTTTCATACCTTCCATAAATGGCCTTGTTTAAAGTCCTTCCAATCAAATCTGTCCTACCAGAGCTACTGCATACCAGCCTGCCCTTCCTAATCCCTTAAATTTTACCCCAAACCCTGCATCAGGGAGACAGATTTGAGCCCTGCCTTCTGTCTCTTTGCTGGTTGACCTTGCAATAAAGCTCTTTCTGGGCCGGCCCGTGGCTTAGCGGTTAAGTGCGCGTGCTCTGCTGCTGGCGGCCCAGGTTCAGATCCCGGGCATGCACTGACCCACCGCTTCTCCCGCCATGCTGAGGCTGCATCCCACAGACAGCAACTAGAGGATGTGCAACTATGACATACAGCTATCTACTGGGGCTTTGGGGGGAAAAAATAAATAAATAAAATCTTTAAAAAAAAAAAAGCTCTTTCTTATCTCAAAAGCCGGTGCCATAGTATTGGCTTCTATGCATGTTGGGCAGTGAAGGAGAGGAAGACTATCCTCTACCCAATCTGGGTCCTTCCTGGCTGGGCTACAAATTAAATTGACATGAGATCAAATAACTGGAGAAAATCAAACAAAGCTGTATAACATGTATACATGGGAGAGACCCACTGGGTAACCGAGTATCTCAACAAGATGGTAGAGCTTCTCACCTTCAATACCACCTTCAGCTAAAGACAAAGGAGGATGTTGGGAAGGGGCGGTAGTTAGCTATAGGAGATTACCAGAAAGCACAGTAAACAAGAGTATGCATATTTAAGTCCTCACCTTATGCACTGATAAGAGTTTCTAGAGATAAGGTCATCCCCGCCTTCTTCCTGGTACAGAGAGGGAGATACCTTTCCCTTATAAAGGTAAATGTCTCTTACAAAGGGTAACTTCTACTTTTCAGAGCTTCTTTCCCTTCTGTAGTTTCTTAAAAATAACCAGCCCAAAATAATCCTTATGCCAAAGAGACACATTTTGGAGGGGCCAATTCTGATCTCCCACAGAGAAGGTAACAATGCCATCTGAAGGCCCTTTTCCCTGAGAATGCTGCTACTTTCCTACACTTGTTCACATCAAACACGAGCACAGATCCTTCTGTCTGCTCCCCACAGACTTTACTTGAAGACTCTGAAACTATGAAATATAAATGCAGCACAGCTTAAAGGTGAATACTTTTGAAAGCTGCTCTAAGTTGGAGGACTCATGTCTCACCACAGAGTTCACCCTACTGAGTACCTACTTTCTCAGGTGCCAAGTTGCCCTGGCCTGCTTATCTCTTCCCAATGGGAGGGCCCTTGAATATCCATCACCCTTGGAATCCAGGTTCCTGAAATCTGAAACTTCATATTCCATACTTTGTTCCTAAGACATGACATAAATATGTGGCATAAAGGGAGGTGAGCACAATTAGCACATGTATTAAAGGAATAGAAGCTTGGAAAGAACTATTCTGCAGCACAGGTAATTGGCACACTTGTAACTGCTTTAATATGTGGACTTTCCAATACCCATTGTCTTTGGCTGCTACTCAAAGACTGATCACTCTATACAACACTTTGACTCACGTTGGTCTACTAGCCCAATAACTCTAGAGGTTGAGAAGGAAACTGAAACTCCCTCCTGTGAAAGTGACCACAATGAAGGGTAGCAGAATATACCACCTCAAAATATGCCTCTTTGGCAAAAGGATTATTTTGAGAAACTGCAGACACAGCAGAAGCTCTGAAAACTGAGTGAAAGTTACTCTGTTGTAAAGGAAATTTACATTAGAAAGAGGGCCTATATCAGGAAAACAGCTATTACCAGAGATCACTTTTTCATCTGAGAGACTTATCTGCATGGCAGGGCAAACTTTGTTTACCATATGTTTCCTCTTCTCCTCTTCCTGTGAATTGCATTCCCCTCTTTGAAGACCCAGACCCCTAGCCCTTTCCTTAGCTCAGAATGATATAGAAGCCTCAATGGTCTGGCTGAATTTTGAGTCTCATATCTTTGTGGGGCTCCCATATATACATAACTAAAATTATTTTTCTCCTGTTTATTTGTCTTTTTATTACAGGGGCGGTCTCAGCCAAGAACCTAAAAGTGTAGAGGGAAAATTATTTTTCCTCCCTTACACCTAGGACCTAAATTCTTAAGCCCAGCCAAATTCTTAATCCTAGTCTTGCAATTTCTAAATCTAATACCTGTTCCAAAACCCCAATGTTTCTGTGATATTTTGGTATTTAGGCAGGGCAAGAATGTTTTTAGTTTCCCAGAGCTTTTTTTCCTTGATCTATGCTTTCTCCTTGTCCATTCCAATAGATAACGGGGGTATTGAATCTAAGGCTACAGTGGATCATTATCCCTACTACTTATATTTAAAACATTATCTAATTAAATATAGAAACAAAGAGTAAAGATCTAGGACACCTCAGTTGCCAGTGTTAGAATCTGTGTGTGAAATTTCCATCAACACTCTATGATGTACCAGTGCTACTTCTAAATAAAGGTAAACAATGGTTTCGAGGGAAATATGTAAAGCCATGAGCAGAGTTTGAAGGGATGGAGACCTTTCTTTCTCCAAAGTTCCAAAGACACAGGGGCAAGGGAAGTGGCTGGCAATGGTGTGAAAGGGATCTCAAACACACTCATTAGAATGCAGCAGAAAGTGGTTTTATTGCTGTGAACACAGTGCAACAAAGCTTGGCAGAAGTTTCATGGTTAAAAATATGGAGACATGGACCTTTCTTTCCCCTCTTCCCTGTTGCCTTCCTTCAAAACACACAAAGCTCCAAAGCAGAAAAGAATCCTATTTCTTTTTGTTCCAACTCTGGTCTGGTGTCCTAGGCACTCTAATTTTTCTTCTATGGTTCTTCTATAGGAACCAGGACAATCAATAAAAGAAAAGAAAAAACAGAAGAGATCATAAGAGAACCTGTGACAAGTGAGAGGGAAAATGATAGAAACTTTATACAATACTATCTAAGTGTACAGGAACCAACTGATAGGGAGGGTCGCCCTTCTGAGGGGGGTCACAGGCAACAATGTAGAACTTGTATGGGGCAGAATCTTTATATCGGCAGTTAGGATACCTCCCTGCAGTGAGACTGCATTGAGTCATGTTAACAGGTTTTAGACTCTGGTGACAATTTTTCTGGCCATTCTTGCAGACGATGTTGGGCAAATCACAGGCAGCAGCCACGTTCTGGAAGGAGTCATGCAGAAAGGTGTTTTCAGGTTTACAGTGCTGGGTATAATTATTGACACCATTCATTGCCTTGTTGCATTGGAGAGGGCTTGGCTGTATATGCTGAATTTCAAACCATTGAGCATGGGTGAGAGACTTAGGCCAAGCACAAAGTGGCTGCACCAGCCCCCATAGTCCCAGCAGCAATAGTAGGAGAGGAAAGCGTCCCAGAAGATTTAACACCATCTTTTCTGTGTAGGAAGAAGGAAGATAATGGTGATAATAGAAGCAATAAGAGCAAAATCATTATTCATAACCATTTAGATTTTTATTGTGCCTTTTAAGATTTCATAGCTCTTTTTTTTTTTTTTTAAACCACCTTCTCTCTCACTGAGTCTCACAATTCTATGAAGAACTTGAAGCCCAGTGAGGAGGAATACAAGGTAAGGAGAACCTTCCTCTGATTGGCAGATCCCACTCTTCTCTATGTCCTGTACTCATGTGTTTGATGGCCATGTCAAAAACCTTGTCTCTTTCCTCTTCCGTCCTGAAATATTTACCATCCATCTATTTGACCTGGCCCTCCCAGCCATCTTCCTTGCCCTACCCTCCCCAGCCCTGAGGCTTCTCCTCTTACCAGGTCTCCGTGCTGAGGCTCCCCCTGAGAACAGAAGACGTAGTTAGTCCCAGGCTCAGAGGCTTTTGTCTGCTGCTTCTCTCCCAGGCATGCCAGAGCTGCCAGCATGTGGCAGGGAAACGGTTCTGAGCCCAAGCCCTAGGAAAGCGAAAACTCGGGCTTGGCAGATGAACTTCTTGTGCACAGTGTCGATGAGACTCAGAATTTCAAACTTGCCGTTTAAAATAGAATCAATGTCACTGTATACACAGGAAGAGTAAGTGTACTTACAGAAAAAATGTGACTCACGGTTTTGAGGAACTGATCACTTCCTGATACGAGTTACTTCCTTACTAATCTGAAGCTGCAGTTTTTTGAAGCGCTGTGATTTTAGTTCCTTAGGAGAAAATATACCACGTAAATCTGATATAATAACTGCTGCATACTTGGTGAGTTCCAACAACAGCCTTGAATGAATTACTCATTTATGCGTACATTTATTGGGTCAGATATTGCTCTACTCAGATTCAGGAGCTCATGATCTAATGAAAGAGACCATCAGGTAAATGGACAAATACAATACACATTAATAAATACAAATAGCACTTACAGCTGTGTTGGAGGTGTCAAAAGATTTTCAAATATTGAAGTATATGGGATAACTATTCAGGTTCAAAACTGATTCAGCTTGAAATAAAGAAGCCTGACTTTTGGCCTAGAAAAATATACATTGTACATCTGCTTTAACCATTAAAGTGAAGAACGCACTCTCTTAAGATGAGAATGCATACTTCCCCTCCCACGCCCTATTGGTAACATCCTATTGGTAAAGCCTGGATTAGTCCCTCTCCTGAATTCAGGGTCGTGTTGACCTGCTAATTTGCAATTAACTGCCTCTTGGAAACTTTGAAAATGTATCCTGGGTGTGTTTACTGTATGTTCTTTGTTCTAAAAAGATATAAGACTGTGCTGAAAACCATGCTTCTCCAGAACACTTCTTTCCTTTCTGAAAGAGGCCTCCTTGGGTTATAATCCTCACTCTGGATCAAGTAAAACTCACTTTATTTTTCTTATCTATAGAATGGTTATTGGCTATTTTGTGTTGACAGAAGAAACTACAGGAAATTGTGAGGAGATAGTAGAGAAGAAAGATGATTGGAGGCATAATATCTGAACTGAGTTTTGAGGATTAATTAGAAGTTAGATGGGGCCGGCCCCCTGGTTTAGCAGTTGAGTGCTCGCGCTCCACTACTGGCAGCCTGGGTTCGGATCCCCGGCGCACACCGACGCACCGCTTCTCCGGCCATGCTGAGGTCACGTCCCACATACAGCAACTAGAAGGATGTGCAACTATGACATACAACTATCTACTGGGGCTTCGGGGGGAAAAAAAAGAGGAGGATTGGCAATAGATGTTAGCTCAGAGCCAGTCTTCCTCAGCAAAAAGAGGAGGATTAACACGGATGTTAGCTCAGGGCTGATCTTCCTCACAAAAAAAAAAAAAAAAAAAGTTAGGTGAAGAGGATGGTAAGGGCATCCCAAAGAGGAAACTGTGTGTGAAGAGACCCATATACATGAAGGAGAAGGGCAAATTTAGGGCATTTGCCTCTTGAATATGTTCTTACCTTTCCATTGGTGCTGCAATACCCTTATTCAAAACCTCATTGTGTCGTGGAGGGCTCACATAAAAGCCTCCTACAGGGATGGCCTGCCTCTAGCCTCTTTTCCTTCCCATCCATTCTACATATAACTTCCAGATTAGTCTTCCTTGAGCATCAATATAATAGTGGAACACTCTTGCCCAATGCTTTTAATGGCTCTAATTATCTACAGGATAAAAATGATATCTCTTTATAGCCAAGTTGCAGGATATAAGGCTAATATATGAAAGTCAATTGCTTTCTTATATACTAGCAATGATCAATTGGAATTTAAAATTAAAAACACCAACATTTGCATTAGCATCAAAGAAAAATGAAATACTTAGGTATAAATCTAATAAAATATGTACAAGATCAATATGAGGAAAACTGTAAAACTCTGACGAAAGAAATCAATGAAGATCTAAATAAACGGAGAGATATTCCATGTCTGTGTTGAAGGAAACCGAAATATGTCACCCCAAAATACGGCTCTTTGACATAAAAATTATTCTGAGCTGAAGACAATTAATTAAGAAGTAGTAGGGGCTGGCTCGGTGGCACAATGGTTAAGTTCATGCGCTCTGCTTGGGTGGCCCAGGTTTCGCAGGTTCAGATCCCAGGCATGGACCGACGTACTGCTTGTCAAGCCATACTCTGGTGGTGTGCCATATAAAGTAGGGGAAGATGGGCATGGATGTTAGCCCAGAGCCAATCTTCCTAAGCAAAAAGAGGAGGATTGGCAACAGATGTTAGCTCAGAGCTAATCTTCCTCACACACACACACAAAAAGTAGTAAATGCATACAAAGCTCCCCCTTTTCTGCCTAAAGGCAGGAAATAAATTCTCCTTTTACTGGAGATAGACTCTTATTAGCCCAGAGAAGCCACCAGAGGAATCTGCAAACAAAATTTGTTAAGCTAATCCTTATCTTCCTAGTTAAGGAAGATAAGGCCCTAGTTGGATTACCACTGGCTCAAACCCTTTTGCCTTGTCAATTCTTCACAAATTTATTGGTTTTTTGTATACAAGGCTTAAAACTTCCTGCTCTGATCACTTCTTCACGTCTTCGTTCTCTTGTGAAGGCTTCCATGTACACGTAAAAATTTAATAACATTTATATACTTTTCTTCTATTAATCAGTCTTTGTCAATTTAATTTTCAGGATCAGCCAGGGACCCAAAGAGGGTCAAGGAAGACTTTTTCCTCCCCTGCAATGCATAGGAAGAACCAGTGTTGTTAAGATGTCAGTTCTTCTCAACTTGATCTATAGATTCAGTACAACCCCAATTATTATCCAGCAAGTTATTTTGTGGATTTGGACAAATCGGTTCTGGTTTATATGGAAAGGCAAAAAACCCAGAATAGCTAACACAATACTGAAAAAGAAGAACAAGAAAGAGGACTGACACTACCCAACTTCAAGACTTACTGTAAAGCTACAGTAATTAAGACAACGTGGTATTGGTGAAAGAATAGACAAATAGATCAATGCAACAGAATAGTAAGCTCAGAAATAGCTCCACACAAATATAGTGAACTGTTCTTTGACAAAGGAGCAAAAGCAATACGATAGAGAGAAGATAGTTTTTTCAACAAATGGTACTAGAACAACTGGACATCCACGTGCAAAAAAGTGAATCTAGACATAGACTTTACACCTTTCACAAAAATTAACCTAAAATGAATCACAGACCTAAATGTTAATGCAAAATTATTGAACTTCTAGAAGATAACATAGAAGAAAATCTAGATGATCTTGAGTTTGGCGATGACTTTTTAGATATAACCCCAAAAGCACGATCATGAAAGAAAAAATGGATGCGTTGGACTCATTTAAATTAAAGACTTCTGCTCTGCAACAGACACTGTTAAGAGAATGAAAAGTCAAGCCACAGACTGGGAGAAAATATTTGCAAAAGAGATATCTAATAAAGGATTACTAAATGGAATATACAAAGAACTCTTAAAACTCAACAATAAGAAAACAAACAACCGCGTTAAAAAAATGGGCAAAAGATATGAATAGATACCTCACTGAAGAAGACAAACAGATGGCAAATAAGCATATGAAAAAATGTTCAAAGTCATATTTTTGGGAGAAAAACTTTTTCTCTACCATGTTAGATTTGAATGGTGGAGGGGGGTGTGGCTTGCAAATTAACTTTTAAAGAGACGTATTAACAGGAGAAAGGACAAGGTTTATTTATTTAGTGAGTAATTCACCTCATAGTCAGAGGTAAAAGTTTACAAGCCAATTTAACAAAAAAAGGAGCAGATGTTTAGGGCTTCAGTGGGAAAGTGTGGAAGGTTCTATTGGACTTTTTGATGCTAGTGGGAAGGGGCAGCCTGTCTCCTTCTGGCTGGAAGTTTCCTCATAGGGGGTTTATAGCTGCTGAATTCACACTTCCTGGTGCCAAGGGTCAGTCTTCTTTCCAACAGGAAAATCCTACAGGACAATGGCCCCTGTATTTTTGGGAGGTTCTACTTAAGTTTAGATAATATTTGTTTCTGTAGCTACTGTCTGTTCAGAAGTTTTCAGTTTAAAATAATTTTCATACCATTTTAGTGGGCTTGTAACCCCTTCAACATTTCATTAGAGATTGCAAATTAAAACAACAATGCAATATTACTATACACCTATTAGAATGACTAAAATCCAAAAAATTCACAACACCAAATGTTGATGAGGATGTGGAGCAACAGGAAATTTCATTGACTGCTGGTGGGAGTGCAAAATAGAACAGTCACTTTGGAAGACAGTCAGTTTCTTACAAAGCTAAACTCAGGCTTACCATATGATTCAGAATTCATGCTCCTTGGTATCTATCCAAATGAACTGGAAACTTATGTCCATCCTAAAGTATGCACACAAATATTTATAGCAGCTTTATGCATAATTGCCAAAAATTGGAAGCAACCAAGCAACTTCAAAGAGTGAATGGATAAATAAATTGTGGTACATTCAGACAATGGAATGTTATCTAGCATTAAAAAAAAAAAAAAAAGAGCTATCAAGCCACAAAAAAACGTGGAGGAAACTTAAAGGCACACTGCTAAGTGAAAGAAGCCAGTCTGAAAAGGCTACATACTGTATGACTCCAATGTGGGGGATCAGAATTGGCCACCCCAAAATATGTCCTTTTGGCTTGGTTATTTTTAAGAACAAAACACTCTGAAAGAAACTTTGACCTTCTCTCTAATTGCCTAACAGAATTTAAGATAGAAGTGCCTCTCCCGGGAAAGAGCTACAACCATAGATAATTCTAGGTGTAGTAGACAGGATGGCATCTTGCATGGGCCATTTTACCAAAAGATGTCTTTCCCATCCCATTTTCTATAGTTGGGCCAGGAAACACCTGTTTATCAAACATTTGCTTTTCCATCTCCATGTAAATTGCCTTCCTCCACTTTGAAGCCCCAAACATCCTCCTTTGTCTTTAGCTGAAAATGGTATTTAAGGTGGTGGCTTCAGCCATTTTGTTGAGTTACTCAGTTTTCCTGGGTTTCTCCCATGTATACATGTTATAAAGCTTTGTTTGATTTTTTCCTGTTATTCTGTCTCATGTCAATTTAATTCTTAGGCCAGCCAGAAGGACCTAGAGGGTAGAGGAATTGTCTTCCTCCCCCATACCAACTATTTGACTTCCTGGGAAAGGCAAAA